CAAAAATAAAAACTAAAATAAAATTAGCTACTGCCTAATATTATATTTTGTCATACAAGTTAACTGTCAAGTATTTAAACTTATTGTAGGTTACTCTATTGTGGATGAGATGGGAGAGACAATAGAGTAGTCTTTCTGCAAGGCAAGCATCAGCAAAGAGTAAGATAAGCTTTTTTTACTAAAAAACATCACCCTTAAATACACTAGATTATATCTTTCTTCCTTTGTTCTACTGATCTGATTCACGCTTGAAGCCATATAAAAATACACTTTTACTTTAGTATTAATTTGTTAACATTCATATCTGTTCGCCACTTAACGATCATAAACTTAACCAAGAAATACCTGATCTAACGAGAACAACACAGCAAACTATTACAGTCTATAAAACATCAATCTAAGTATATGATTCATAAAGTCATCTGATCTTACAATTCAATGACAAGCTACCCATAATAAAAAAATTAAAATTCTTTATCAAGAATATTTTATCAATGATAATGATAGTAATTGAAGTTATTAAATATTGGTTATTAATTTTTAATTACTAAAAAAGATTATCTAATATTATGCTCCAGAATAAGGAAATTATAACTAGGGATAGGCAAATTGAAGATTTTTTGAATTTATTGCACAGGCTATGCAGGATGCATAAACTGCACAGACTGCATTAAAGCAGTATTCTGCTAAAGCATACATTAACTGTTAAATTCTAAAATATTCCAAACTTCTAAAAAATTCTGTCTATGCAGTGGCCCATTCCTAGTTATAACCATTTAGTCATAGTTATTTACCATAACTAATACTAGTACTAGTCAGAGCGGCTTAACTAACTGATATAACCGATAATGATTAGTATTTTAAATGTAATTTTCACATGCATATATTTTTTTCACATCAGCATGATTTCATGTAATATCAAAAAAGTTAAACAGAACCCTCCCTCACATATTCTATATTATACAATCATATGATCATACTAGTATAATTAAAGTTGTGACTTATCTATATAACAATTATCTATAAAATACCTCTATTAAATCATTTTGTTTTATATCAATTATAATTTGTACTTATATAGAGATATCTTTATAAAGTCACACCTCTTTATAATCACTATATTAGGGTATATTCAACTGCGTAATTATATAGAGGGATAACTGTATTAGTCTAATTTTAATAATTTTATAACTATTAGAACTGGAAAGACCTGATAAACAACTTTTATTAAGACAAAAAAGAAGGTTTACTTAATAACAATATCTTTTTTAAAGCATCTTTTGATATATAGGGATGGCAAAAGTGAAAATAGCAACTCTCTATATATAATATATATAGAATATATGTACAATATTCTGTATCAACTCTATATATATTAGGTATCTGATAAATACATAATATATATATGATAGGTGTCAAATATATATTAGATTTTTATTAATGTCTGTTAAGAACTTATCTGTTACTTATCTAGTATCTGATATTTATAATTAGATATATATTCTACATATATCTTATATATATTCTATATATATCTGCATACTAGAAATATGTAGAATATATATAGAATATATTAATTTGATCTGTGAAAGATTTAATATAGTTAAAAAATTCTTAGTATATAAAAATATTAAAAGAAATCAAAACTATCTAGATACTACAATAAACTTAATATAAAACTATTTTTACAAAAATATATAAAATATATCAAACTAAAATATAACTTATAGCTTTTTTTAAATTTTAAGAAAATTATATTTAAAATTTTATATAATAATAATATGACAGGGTGAAACCCACATTGCTAGCTAGTAAAATCCGCTATGATCATCATGTAGAAGTAAAATCTACTTTTATATAATAAAAAATATAATCAACCACAAATTTCATCCTAACCTGATCTATGTAGTAGATTTTACTAGCTAGCAATGCGGGTTTCACCCTGTTCTATAATAACAATAATGATCTATTATTAGTATAACCTGTTAAATTAATATCAATTAGCTAATTATACAGATACATTTCTATAACTCAATAGCAAGAATTGATAATCAGATTTTTGAATTTTAATTTTAGATCATAGTTAACTATATATGAAATTTAAAAAAAAAAATATTGACAAAAATTTTATTATATAAATCAATATTTTAAATATTAAATTATCTAGAAGAGTATTTACTTTATATAACTATATGGTTAACTTATTTTTACAAAAAATGCTATAATTTGATGTACTTATATGAAAACAAAAATACATATATATTAATAACTAAGAAAAGAAAACAAAAATAAATATCAGAACAAAAAGAGAAAGAAGATCAAGTTTTGAACAACTAAGTATTAGAATAAAAAAAAACAAAGCTGATTACTAGAAAGAGTAGTCAAAATTAAAATTAAACCAAAAAAAAGTTAAAAAGAAAAAATAAAAAAAAGTAAAAAAAAAAATATAGAAAAAAATATTTGGTTTAATATTGTTAAAAATTTTATTATAAATAAAATAAAATTATTTTGGTATAATTTTATTAACTAGCTTAGTGCAATACTTTAATATGAACAAAATTCTTAACTAATAAAATAGACGTCTTTGAGCATCTTTCAGAACAATTGAGAAATATCAAATTTATAATTTAGATAGTTAAATATATGTATATATATTTTTTTATTTAATAAAAATATTAGCCAAACTACCAATAATTAAAAAAATATTTTATTTAATAAAATTTTTCTATAGTTACAAGATATTATTTTTAAAAAGAATATTATATTCATAACACCTATATTATATAATACTCTATATTTTACTTAGAGTTAAGGTTAGATTTTAAGATAAATAAAGATTTTTTATTATACAATATATATTAGACATAAGGTTCTAATAGGTCTCAATTTTAGTTTTTATGAGGTTTTTAGAGATGCTATTTATTTTTACTTAGAGTACCTACACCCATTTACTTAGTATGTTTTTGAGATATTGCAAAAGATATTATATAATACAGTGTTTTATAAATATAACTTTTTTTTTAAAATACATTTATTTATTACCCTACATGATGCATCTTATATATCACTTTTATATAATCAACCAATTAAATCTCAAGATTAGGTGTAATATTATATATTTGAAAAATTTCAAAACAAATAAACATAACTCAAAATTTTGCATATAAAACCACCTTTTGGGTTCTAATAAAAAAAAATTTCTTGTTGCAAAATTTTACTATAAGACTTAATTTTTGCCTCAACTCTAAACTTATCCATCCCTAACCCTAACCATATAAAAAAAACATTATTTTGAACCTGATCTTATAATCTGCATTAGTGCGACAATATCGCCTATGTGATGTATAAATTCTCTCTTATTTTTAATATAGCTATAACTATATAGAGTATACTCTATATTAGTTATATCTTTATATAATTACTATTTTTTGTATTTCAAAGATTTGACTATAAAGAGATTTGAATATATTAAATTTAATCTGGCCCGGCCCGGCCCGCAATTATAAAATTTAATTATTAAGCCCGGGCTTCGGAACCCAATGCAGGTCTCTACCGAAGTTACCAACAAATAGTAACTTACTGAAATTTACCATGGTAACTTACCACGGTAAGTTACCATTAACAACCCTGGGCATGTTAAAAATTGGTTCATAGTTCATAGTCGAATTATGTTGGCCGGAATTATTCTAATGATAGTGCGTTAGGTTAAACGATTAACACATATATAACTCTACTTACATATGTCAACTATTGACCGACAAAAACTTTTATGCATTGACTTTTATGTACTAGAAATTTCGAAAATCAAATTTCGGAAACCCCTGGCTTATCGAGTGATTTTAACCCGGATGAAAATATAATTCTTATATAATTAAATATATATATTTATCATTTATTCATTCATATGTATTACTAATAAAGTATGTAATCTGTAGTATTTATAATTTCAAAATTTTGGAATGCAGAATGCAAAGTTAAATGTTTGAATAATTATATCCTTACACCATCCAATTTTATAATGTAGCTTAAAATGAACTGTAATCTAGACTGCGTACGTACGATCAAAAATAGTTTAATAGTTCGATCATCGATCATTATGACAGTTTGCATGCAAATTTACCTGTAAGACAGTGTATATCAATTTGCACTAATATTAAACATAATTTCGAAATTAATTAATTAATTAATTATATTTAAAATTTAAATAACGTACGTACAATAACTAGCACAACAAATCGAAAATAGCCAAAATAATACCTTGTAATTACGATCACAGTAATCGGCGAAACTTTTATTATAAACAAGGCTTTATTTAGTTAACATTGAAAATTAAATGCCACATTGGTGCACAACTCAAACAATAAAGAAAAAATTTACATGTTCTTTTCATATGATTGGATGATTAAAAACGTACGTACACGCTACAAGGAATTCTAAAAAAAGAAAACAAAATCTATGGCGTTGATTATTTACTGTGGCCGAGATACGTACGTACGTACGATACATACGTACGTACATACGTCTAAGCATTTTCTTAAAACGTTTCGTTAAATGTCGAATTGGAAATAAATTCTTTGACGGCACTATGCATAACATGTATCGACTAAAAGCATCGTCATAGAATTTGTTCTACTAATTTGAACTTTATTTGGGCAATCATTCATTGATGCCTAGCGGTCACAATAACATCGGTTTACCTCAATATAGTGGAAACCGAATAATGGTATCGTAAAAAATGCTAAGATTTTATATTCCTTATTTCAGTCAATAATGGTAAAAAATAATAAATAAATAAATCAGAAGTAGGTTGAACAAATATAAAAATAAAATCGAAAGTGGTTAAACAAACCCGAAGGTGGTTAAACAAATATAAAATGACAAGGGTCATAAATTATTGTTAGATTACTTTGTTTAAAGGGAACCTTATTTAATTAAAATGTTTATAAATAGCATTGAAAGCACATAACATTGTAGCGTCCTTTAAAATGTCATTTCGCATCGTCTATTCTTTCCTTTTATATATTTCGCTCCTTAATTTAATTACGCGAATTGACTCGTACACTCCTTCACCCAGATACTTTGTTAATAGTATCTTAGTTGGAACAAAGTTATATTTTTTGGGAGGTTGGAGTAAAAATTCAGATGGCACTGAGGGTTGTCAAAATAGTGTATTTTATTTAGATCTTTCGGTTTCGTTTGACACGCAAGGCAATATTCCATGGACAGACCTTACGACTATTGCTGGCAGTCCAGTAAATACTTGCTGGCAGGTTAGCGCATTGGCTGGTCCGAACAACACTAGCATATACGCGTTTGGAGGCGTTATGGTAGATAAGAGTAAGAATATGTTATTTTAACATGTGGTATGTGATTGATTTCTTGAAGTGAATCAAGTCATCAATAATGGCAAACATTTTTTTTTTTGCAATTATAAAAGGTACTACGTTTAGTGTTGATACGGTGATATATGAATTTGACACAAAAACTCAACAGTGGAGCACACCAGAAATCTCAGGGACTCTACCCAAAAGACGAAAAGAATTTCAGATTGTACAGGACAATTCCGGCAAAGCGTATATGTTTGGAGGATTATCTGATAACTCAACAGGTTCAACGAAAGTCAAATGGTTCAACGATATGGACATTTCAGATATCATCAGTATGTCTTGGTCGAAAGTTTCGACTTCCAAAAATAAAGCACCTCCGCTACGAGCTGATTTCACCGCTACCATGTTGAATAATTCTATCATCGTATACATAGGCGGAAGACAGGCTAATCCAGCATCAGCAAAGACTAAAAGTTATAGTAATATGGATCAGGTATGTACGTGCTCATGATTTATCTTAAATAAACTTTCTGTTAACCATATTCGCTAATCTTATGCATTTGTATGTGCATTCTATTTAAAGATTTGGACGTATGACACTAAAAATGCATCTTGGATGTTAGTTGTAAGTAAATATTATCATTCAAATACATATCTGTCACAATTCATACCGATACCTTTGATATAATGATTCTATAATTCGCTTTATACATAGACTGCGGCTGGAACTGTTCCAGGTGTTCGTATTGGCCATTCTGCAGTGCTAGGTAAGAAACATTCTACGTATAACGATAAATATATATATAATATTTGATATACTTATTTGGACTGACCAAATATTTATATCCCAGCCTTAGATGGTCGAATCATTGTATTTGGCGGATACGACCAAAATTTATCTCCCGCCAGCCCTGCGCTTGCCGTTCTCGACACTTCAACATCACCATTTCGGTGGTCACTTCCTAATGCCACTAACAATATTCCGCCAGCATTAGCTTATCATTCTGCTACTTTAATAGGCAACTTAATGATAGTAGCATTTGGTATGCATATACTTTAAATATTTTTCGCATATTTCTGTATTTTTGATTGATCTTTTCGAATCAATTTTATAGGAAATATCACAGAACAGACATCAAAGACGCCCGGTGCAACATCAGATATATATATCCTTAACATTAGTAACTATACATGGGTTACTTCCACTGATACCGAAATTCCCTTATCTTCACCAACCAATAGCTCGATAACAAATCCTACTTTGTCCACTTCTCCCACTTCAACAACCACACCAGACTATACAACAAAAACACCTTCATATTCAATTACACCTCAGAAAAATGGTGTTATATCATCTCGCACGGGAATAATATTAGGAACAACGATTGGAGCTCTTAGTTCCGTAGTTGTATTGACTATTTTTTCCTTATTATTTATACGTTGGAGAAAGTTCAAACAAATATATCGGAATAATGGATACTCTGATTTATTATAACCTAATTCTGTTTATTCAACATAGAAAACATATATGTATATATTATTTTGGTTATATTTAGTAGATTATTTTCTATTAGACTTACTACGTATGATATTAGACTATGTTTATACTGTATATTATAATTTTTTATTATTAGTGTTAGGCGTACGTAAGTATGTACGTATCTTTACGTAATTTTACGAAATTTGTGTTGCATTTTGTCAAGTCACGTGCTCGAGTGGTAAATTTATTGCCGATATTTAAAATTATCGTATATTACCGCTACCGAATTATCGTATCATTACCGTTACCGTTACCTTTATCCTTATCAATATAATTTGTGTCGGGAGTTATATAATACATGTAGTACGATTAAAAAATATCATAATAATTATTTAAATTTGTCAAATTTATTATTTAATAATCCGTCATAATAAAAAAAAAAAAAAAAAAAAAAGTCTGAAATAAGCCGTTTATTTATTCATTCTAACGCTAATAGCCAGATTTACTGCACAATAAGGATCAATAATGCAATAATAAAATAATGCACATTTATGTCAAAGACTAACTCCGTTTCCGTAACCCACCGAATGTTACAATGATCCTGATGATCTTTATCATTTATCATAGAACTGATTGTAATGGTACAATTATAAATACATATGGATACTTAGTGCGTGGCAGTGCATGTTCTCAATTCCACAAGTGTACAAAAAAGTATAAATTCATCGATGATCACTTATCCACAATAAAAAATCATCGAAAGCCCGCAAATTACTCACTAACAACTCACTCAACACTCCTTTCTTAGTGTAAGAAACTGGCCAATAAGAAAACGAACGTCTATTTGTTTATATGCTACCGATTAATATCATTGCTTGCCCTTATTTAGAGTTAGTTCATGTCTCCTGTGTTTCGAAATTTTTTTCTTTATCCCTCTAACTGCCATCGAGCGAAAAAAGTATACAACGAAAGTTTTTTTGGAATTATTAAACTTTGTTAAGATTCTATATTTTTATACTATCAAAAATTTTAATTACTAAAACACTTGTCAAATTCCTATCTCAAAAAAAGTTGTTAAAATATTATTTTACTGTAGTAGTTGAACCTTTTTGTTAACACATTTTTACAAATCATGACTACTAAGACCGCAGTAGATACGTCGAAAAAGAAGTCAGCAATGGTATTT